CACTAGGAAGTGATAATTATTAGGTTGCCTCGCCTTTCCCTCTAAACTTAGATATTCTATGGCCCTTTGGGGTTAGGTTCTCAATACCCATGTCAGGCTTGGGAGGCAAGTCAACTGCAGTCAGCTGAATGGGTGGGTAGGTGCAGACTCACTTACAGAACTGCTGTTTTTTAGGTCTTTCACACAGTCTTTATTTACAGACCTTAGATGGTTGTGCTTTTGATAAGAAGGAAGTCAACACAGGTGGCAAAGGCTGAAGGGGAACTTGGGAAATAATTTAATCAATTTTAGAAAAAGACTGACTTTTCACATTAGGTAACATTATAACAGAGCAAGACCTTGAAATTACAGGTTTTCAGGCAAAGAGTAGCAAGGAGAATAACATATTTAATAGGGAGAATAACCACACACACACACACACACACACACACACACACACACACACTGAATTTAAAGGTGGCATATTATTGTTTTAAAGACAAAGTTCAAATTTGTTATTTTAATGAGTAAACTTGCAAATATATCTTGGCAATTCAGTTTAAGGCCCAAATGTCCTGATTTTTATATAACAAGCTTTGAATATAGGAATTAAATTGAATTAAGCAAAGGACAGAGTAGCCCTGAAGGAATGGAAAAACTCATAAGATCTTGCACCTGAATCACACACTTTCAATTATTCTTGGCGACTTCCTTCTCTAAAATCAAACATCCATTATATTGCAGAAAGAGCATTAGAGTTCTGATAACTGCTCCTATATAACTTAATATATACATTGTTATGAAAATGAAGTGCAAATAGCAAAAACTGAATCTGCAATTTTATCCCAATCTTCAAGTATCTGACTGAAGTAATTTCATAACATTACAAATGAATGCTATATATATTATAGGTGCTTTCTAAGTAATTGCTGATTGAACAATAATCTCACACTTTTGAAAGTGAAACTACATATAAGCTTTATTTCCCAAAAAACTTTTAAAATTATACTAAATAGAAAAATTAAACTATCAATTTATTCTAAAAGTCATTAAAAATACTATATATTTTATAGTAGTAATTTATTTCAACATTGAAGGGGATTAAACTTGTACCTGCATGAGAAGAAAAAGATAATATGATTGCGTTGTTTGCCAAACAGAAACCTAAAATGTTTAGAGAGTGATTTCTGCTTAAGGTAACAGGTTGACCCTAGATTGTAATGGGAGGCAAATTCTGCTGGACAGTAAATAACAGATATTAATATGATTTTATTTAATTAGCGAAAAACAACTCATATAGCCTGTGACAGTTTTAAACAAGATAAAAATAATCAAAACTATCAAGACAGATTCTCAGCAGTTATGGGAGATGAGACCAGCCACCACTTACTGAGTATTTACTGTGAACCAGGTGCCATGCCAAACACTTTACCATCAAGGCACTTTGACTTATGATTATATGATTTAACAAGTTGGCCTATGATGGGCTGTTAAAACATTAAACAAAGCATTTATTAGAATTATTGCTGAAAAAAAAAAACAAAGAATTATTGCTGAAAATCTATCAGTGTTCTAAGTCACTGGTTAAAACATCCAAAAAAGTATAGATATTTAATTAAGGGTTCAAAATATATTGATGTTTCATAATATCAGTTCCTGGGACATTTACATAACAGAAGGAAAAGATGCCAATCCATGAGTCATGCATTTCCCTGTATAAGACAGATTTTTGAGCTGAGCCTTTGCTGTGGGGCTTTCTGCTTGCTCATTGCCTAGGACTGCTACATTTTTCCAGAAGCATCAACCCTACTAGCTTCTTTGCTTTTCTGCTTTGTTTCTGATCCACAGAGTGTTTGTTGTATTTTGGAGCCCAATTTTGCCATGTTTGATTTTTCTGTTTTTCACATTTTATCTGTAATTGTTAGGCATTTGAGCAGATGAGGTGCTTTGAAATAAGACCTTACAGTATTATTCTAACTAAAGTCTCAGAGCCATCACCTAAATATTTAAATGTATATTTCTTCTGGATACAGTCACAAGCATAGAGCATTTAGGTATAAGAATAACTAAAATATGTTACTGAAGTAGTGGCTGTGTCTTACTGCCCTCTGTATATTCAGCATCAATTTCAAAATATAAGTCATTCTGTGAATAGTAGAGGTAGATAGATGGATGGATGGATGGATGGATGGATGGATGGATAGAAGGATGGATGATGAAGTGACTAGCACCGCCATTATCAAAGAACAGTTATGAAAAAGTGTCATTAAATCATTGATATACGTGCAAAGTACTAGAGTATAAAAATATATGTGGGACTCAGAAAACTTTGAGAATATATGAGTTCCCATAAATCAACCTCTTTGTATCTGAGGTGACTGAATAGATACATCTGAGATAAGAGAGTCTCTTACCATCTGCAATATTGAAAGCAGTCTGGACCCAGGGTAAAGAGATGTAAATATAAAATAAGGCATATTTTATATTTTATGCATTTGTGTTCTTTTACTTACAAGCACTCAAATATTGCCTTTCAAGGTAATTAGATTCATGGTTAAACATATATAATTGGCCTATTACCTTTAAGTAAGTTAATTAAAGGCAGTGTACGCACTTTAGTTTTATGGGTTTGGCCTTTTCATGATAAGTTGTATCTTTTATTATGAACAAGAAATAAATCACTTCCAGTTTCTAAGCTCATATCTTATCCCATATAAATTCTCAAAAATATTGTTGTTTCAATGGCTTCATCCAATTTTTTGAGGAGTCTAAGTTTGCTTAAGGCAGCAACAGGCTAAAACAATAAGTGTAGGTTATGATATTAAAACTTAGAGCACTCAGATATAATGAATCTGAGGAAAAATACAAAATGTAGACACAGAGCAACTAATATTAAAAATATACTATAAAATATAAGCTTAAGTCCTAGTTTAAAGAATAACTCCAACATCTGCTGCTTTACTTACTATTTGTACCCTGCTAAGTGGTCATATATAGTGATGATTAGACAATATGCCCCAAAGCATATCCCCAAGCTGGGACTACAGGGCTGGTGTGTGTGTGATGGGGTGGTGTGTTACTGTCCTTCTACTGTGTTACAAACTGCCAGATGCACATGAAATAAATGTTAAGTATTTGCTAGAAGTGAAGGAAGGAGGAAGGAAAACTCAGATATGAGATCATATGCTTCTTATAAATAAGGCGACTGGACTAAATTATTTCTTGGGTTCCTTTCAGTCCTAACAATTGATAATTCTAAGTTGTACACACACACACACACACACACACATACTTTCCTAGATAAAAAGCATCTGAAGACCGGGGGAAAAGATATCTCCAAGTACCCAGGAAAGAAAAATCTTGCCTGAAACATAGAGCTACCACAGGTACATCCAAATGGATTTTGATTTTAAGAAAAGACTGAGGAGAGGACTCTGGCAAGGCTGAGGTTTCACTACACTTGGACAATTCTATGTCTATAGCCAACAAAGTTCAGTAAGAAAAGTAAACTAATATTACATGTAGGTGTCATATCTCTAAACATTGCCTTGTTTGTACTAACACACACCCTCCTTGTAATAATTTATGGCAATCAGAAACATTACTCTTGGCAGTTAGGAAAGAAGGTTACTTTTGACCGAATGTGACAATATTTGCAAACCGGGCTTTTAAAGAGCTAACCAAATTTAAATAAGGCCATTCATTAGGATAGGCCCTAATCCAGTAGAATAGGGGTCCTAATAAAAGGAGGGCATTTTGACCAGTTTTAAGACACAAATACCCACAAAGTGGACATCATGTAAAGACAAAGGGAGAAGATAGCCATCTGCAACCCAAGGAGAGGGGCCTCAGAAGAAATGCACCCTGCCTGCATCTTGATTTCAGACTTCCAGACTCTAGAAAGATAAGAAAATAAATTTCTGATGTTTAAAACACCTATTTAGGAACTTTGCTCTCGTGGACCTAGCAAACTAACACATCTCCACAAACTTCACTCTAAAATCTATTGCCTAAGTTATTTCTCCTAACATCTCCACCTCAGTTCTTAAAGTAAAATATGAAGTTTTCATCAAAACATTAATAATATATAATATTAAGAGAACTTCTAGTTTTAGATCATTGGTAAATTTAGAAGGTAGACTATGATAAAACATGTTCTACAATCCAGAATCAATATGAACCTGTACAAAGGAAAAATCATTTCCTACCTCAAGATTTCAGTTTTAATCAAAATGGTAGTGCAGTCACAAACACATTTTATTCCTTAACAAAACAATTCTATTAGAAGAGCTTTGTATTATTGCATTNAAACAATATAACAAAACAAGGTGATATGCAATACATGAGAAAATGGGTATAAAGAGATATAAAATAAATGAATGGAAAGTTAATGAGGCAAACAATTTAAATAATTCAAGGACATAAGAGTCAGATAATATTCAGTATATCTGCTTTTCAAAGTAAAAGTACAAATTTGCATAGAGATAGATATTTGAACAGAAGAGAAATGCAACAGAGTTTAAAATCAAACCGATAAAAAAAGAGAAAGAAAACCCCACAAACCTGTAAAACCGTTTTAAAAACAATGGTCTTCATTCAAGTCCTTACTTTTCTCCACTTTCATTTAATAAAACAAAATAGTTTGTAATTCTTTATGACTCTGTAACTTATTTAAGATTAACTTAAAGTAAATATTTCCTCAATATAATATATTAACGTTTTACAAATCTATAAGGAATAGATAAATTTCATGATCGGCTAAGAATAATATTAAGCTTTAGATACCTGAAAGATTTGAAAAACTATTCAGTTAAATACGAAGAGAAAACTTAATCTGAAACAAAAGGGAGCAAGGCATGCAATTTCAATAAGATTCCTAAATACTAGTAATTAGAAACAGAGGGAGGAAAAAAAAATCCTGTCATAATTGGTTCCACTAACATATTTATCTTATTTGGAATATTTACTTCACAAAACAAAAATGGACAAAGAAAGGTACCCACTGAATGTGATCAACTTACTTTGCAATGATCATATTGGAGTTGTAAGGCTGGGACATCCCCGCCAATAGGCATTTGTTTCTTAAGCTCTTCATCTTTCATATTCAGCCATTTGATCAGTTCTTCTAAAGACGTCAGCAATCTGTTCCATTTCTCAGCACTGGCCTCCAAATGAGCCCTGTTGAGAGATAACACTGACCACATTTAGACATTTGAAATGCATCTGAAAAATTATATACCCTCCTTTGACCTAATAATCTTGTATAACCAACTAATGCTCACATCTAAGAAAGAGACTGACACTTTATAAAAAGAATATATATTTCCTGTAAGAAATAGTTCTTTTGAATAAGCTAGACTAGTCAGGATGTGTTTGCAATATTTGTCAAAAGTTAAAACATACACTTCCATGCCACAAAGGCATCTGTGAGGCTTTCAAGTAGAATATCCATGATATAATGCAAAATTAAGCAAGTTTCAACAGTTTATGTATAGTGTATATACACATTCAAATGTAACTTTTTTCATTTCTTCTATCTATATACAAAGAGAGGGATACAAGAAATTATATGTATATAAAATGTTTAGAAAGACACATACCAGATGTAGTTACTACGGAGAGCAAAATAACCACTTAATTTTTATATATTTTGGTACTAACTGAGTATATGCAACAGGCTTATGTGATTTTTCTTTCCAAAAAAGCTAATTTTCAGAGGGATTACTAATGTCTTAATTTCTCTCAAAGTGAAATAAACTACTGAAAGCAGAATATCACCAATACTTATCTCAGAATATTGAAAAACAATAAGACATTACTTGGACAGAACACTATTTGGTTTATGGATGACTGATGTCCAGTGACATACGTCCACTGTGAAAAGAAAATAACTGATCAAAAACCACTGATTGCAGTATTTATACTCTGAATCAAAGATAAGGTCTTTGTTTCAGTAAAAAATTTCTGTTTTTAACACAAAATACCTTCAGATTCTTAAATTGTGAACTTATAATTAGGGAACTTTATTTAGGAAATACATTTTTATGTGGTGAATATTTAAATAAGAAAAAAGCCTTTGAAAATAGAAGTGTAAACAAAAGACAAATTTGCTAGTTGCTCCTGTTAGAACCTTGGAGAAAGTCCAGTTATACAGCCTCAAGCCCACACCACATGGGTTTAAAAGGATGAATCAGTCAAAAGCAATTCAAAAGACTCAAGGAATCAGTGTTTCCTCATTCTTGCAGCAGACAGACCATGAACGTGGACTTACAAGCTAAACTGCACGAAATGGAATTACCTTGACTGTCCATGACCTTTCAGAAAGAGAGAGGCAAGGCTAATGGAGACAGACATAAGCCTTGTTACATAACAGCTTCCAAAGACTAAAGATTTACGATAGATAAAGATGACTCATTTGGGGCAAACCCAGGTACATGAAACCTCTGTTCACCCGGCTTCACATCCTTTCATACACAACTTTCACCGTAACACTGGCTTACGGTCCACACTTCCACAAAACTGCTGCTTTACTGAACAGTATGAAACAATCAACCAAGCACAACTGCTGTCTCTCAGACTGAGATTCCTTTGTGAATCTTCCCTTTTGGGAAAGGAAATCTGAACCTTTGTCTCAAAGCTAATAATAGCATGCTCTAGAAAAAAGCAAATCACATTAGGTTATCTCAGCAGTGGATACTCAACAACATCATAAGTCTTGTTTAAAAGTTCATAATGTTTTCAGAAGAACAACTACAGATCTCTGATTTCTAGTTCATCTCTAAATCCTAACACAATGGCCACAGCCCAGCACCCAATATTCTCGGCTAAAAGAAAAAAAAAAAGGTAGTTCTGCATATCTCTAAAATACCAATACCTGCATTCAGTCAAACACAAAAGACCAACTGTCCTGCAATCTATTTATAGTTCCATTGTCAGCTGGTTAATATAAAACAAACTCTTCAAACAACAAAATTCTATGTCTTATAAAACCAAGATATGAAATATTTTTTAAAAAATTATAAATACAGAAAGAACTTTGACATATCTTATAATTTAAAATTTTATCTTATTCCCTTGTATTTAAACTCGTTTCTGTTCATTCTACGGGTGCTAAGATTGACCTCACATTATAAACTTGCGCTGTAATAAGATCCCAGTTCTGTTCTGAGGGCCAACTTTTCTGTGTTCACACTGATTAATTTTAAGCCAAATATGTAATTACCTATCCCTGATAAATAATAATTTTATCTGGCACAGAACAGAACTAAATAATTTCAATTATGGAAGTGAAAGTCACTCAGTCATGTCCAACTCTTTGCAACCCCATGAACTATACAGTCCATGGAATTCTCTAGACCAGAATACTGGAGTGGGTAGCCTTTCCCTTCTCCAGTGGATCTTCCCAACCCAGGGATTAAACCCAGGTCTCCTGCATTGCACATGGATTCTTTACCAGCTGAGCTACCAGGGAAGCCCAAGAAAACTGGAGTGGGTAGNCATATGTCCAAATAAATGTATGCTTCTGTAGTAGCCTTCAGTGTCCTAGTTTCAATTTAATTCTTTCATCTTTCAAGATGAAAGCCTTTTCTTGGGCACTGGGTTGAATGGTTTACAAAAAGAAACTTTACATTTGCGTTTGGTGTAGTTGTACTTCTTTAATTTTACTTTAAACATTCTGAAGCTTGTCTTTTCCCAAGACTACAGATAACCAGTCATCAATCATGCTTTCAGAATCATCACTTAAAACATTTCTTTATCCCACACATATCTGTGGGCACTCACATTTTGGATAATAGACTTATTACACCCTCACCTGCTTCAGTTCATTCTTTGGGTACCTAACATGTGCAAAGCAACAGATACTTTTATTGTGCTATTAACTCAGAGTGATGTCTACTACAGAAAATGCTTTACAAAAGTTACTTCTTTTAGGTTGAGTCATTTATTTTACAACTCTGTAAATAATTTTAAGTGATCAGTTATTTCTGAAACTATAACATGAAAACATTTTAGAAGGTAAATAATCATTAAAAAAGGCACCTCATCATTTAAATATAGCAGAAAAGGAACTATTAACAAAACTGTGTAATAATATATATTCTAAACCACTTATTCTAAACCCAAAAAGCTATTTATTATGTTTCTCAAAGAAGTATTTATTCCTTTTCCCAACATACAGATACAAAAAAAGAAAAAAAATAAACAGTATAAGAGGGACATCTATTAAAATAAAATACAGTTTTCCATTTTTTTCAATAAAAGCAAACATCTGTGGAGCCCTTGCTCTGATATTAGCACTACACTGTTTCAGAAATATAAAGTTCCAGGGTCAAGTTAGGAGAAAGAGAAGTGAATCAAATATACTCTGAGATAGGAAACCTAAGAACTCTCTGCAGCAACAGCTCAGAGAAGGAAGAAATTTGCTCAAGAAGCCGTGGTGAGAATTTGGAATATTCATACTTAATTCCAAGCCCTTTATACTATGTTGCTTTCATCATGGAGAACACTCAAGAGGGCAGATAGAAACTGCCCAGATATACATGTAGACAAGGAAAGATGCATTTGGAAAGTAGTAGGTCTGCCAAAGAATTTGGTGATTCAGATTAAGTGGAGTAAAGATATACTATCCCTTATTGTGGAAAGAAGGAACCGTGCTTGTGTTTATGATCACTTGCTCAGTTCTGTCCGACTCTTTGCAACCCTATGGACTGCACCCACCAGGTTCCTCTGTCCATGGGATCCCCCACGCAAGAATCCTGGAGTGGGTGGTCATTTCCCACTTCAAGGGATCCTCCAAACCCAGGAATCGAACCCATGTATCTCATGTCTCCTGCACTGGCAGGCGGATTCTTTACCACTGGTCACCAGGGAAGGCACAAAATTAAATATCCACTTTGGCATTCTTACTACACATAAACTTTTATTTCGTGGTAAAACCCACAGATTATAAGTTGAGTTATAATGAAAAAAACAAAACAAAACCTTCATCAGTGCAAAAATCACCAGTAACATTAAATGTGAGTTATTCCTGCTCCCAGAAAAGGAATTAAGACTGACTACGAGAAAAAAGTGGAGTTCTCAAAACTCAGACTGTTCTGGAAAGAACACCAGAGCTGTGCTTCCAACATTGCAGCCACCAGAAACATGTGGATATTTCAGTTTAAAGCTTAAGAGGGACTTCCTTGGTGATCCAGTGGCTAAGACTCTGAGCTTCCAGCAGAGGGGGCCCAGGCTCGATCCCTGATTAGGGAACTAGATCCCATTCGCCGCAACTAAGAGTTCTCATGCTCCAACTAAAGATCCTGCGTGCTGCCACTAAGAAAAGAAAGAAGGAAAAGGAAAAAAAATTTCACGTGCCACAATTAAGACCCAATGCTGTCAAGGAGTCAAATAAGTATTAAATCTTAAGGTAACTAAAATAAATAAAATGGGGAATTCAGTTCACCAGTTGCACTTGCCACATTTCAGCTGCTCAACTTTCCACACACAGCTGTAGAGAACATGTCCATCACTGCAGAAAGTTCTACAGAAACTTTCTGCTGTAGNAAATAAAATGGGGAATTCAGTTCACCAGTTGCACTTGCCACATTTCAGCTGCTCAACTTTCCACACACAGCTGTAGAGAACATGTCCATCACTGCTGTAGAAACTCTACAGCACTCAGCCAGAGGGAAAAATAAATAAAGCTGCAGCATCTTCTTCTATGAGATTTGAGAGAAGAAAATTTTAGTAGTTTTACAACATGGCTAGCAAAATCAACTAGCTTAAGTTGAAAGTGGTGTCGATGACACTGCAAAAGTGTGGTAACATCAGATGTAATGATGATGTTAAAGGTTAATCTTCTCTAAGGGCTTTAAAAAAGGTGCTCTGAATCTTTAGGAGGCTCATAAAGGGAAGGGAAGACAGAATTTTATCTTTGAACTCTGTTTTCATTAGATTTGACAATTTCCCTGGCCTTTGAAACCATGTTAATAAGGATCCATATTAAACATCATTAAGCTGATAAGTGAGGATTTAATTAACGTAATTCTAAATGACACAAATGTAACATAAAAGTTTAAGCTGTGGCATTCACATTACTGAATTTATTAGTAATTTCCAATTCATGTTTTTTTCCAGGAGGTAAAATATTGAATACACCGTCAAAGTTCTTAACCATCTATCTTCTAGCTCAAGCT